GTGCAAAGGCCCGGCTGCCGCAAGGACGTCTGCACCTTTCGGGGATCAGACTCGTGAGGGCCCTGATTGTGTAAATAAGTGGGCAGATATGCGCGTAGCACACATTGCGCAAGGTAGCGCTCTGATTAGTAAGCAGCAGTCACCCCATTGATGGCACTAGTACTTTTTGCAAGCAGCAGTCATCCCCATTGATGGCACTAGTACTTGTTGTAACCAGCTACAAGCATTAGTGGCGCTCGTAGTAATTAGCAGTAGCAGTAGCAGGAGTAGTAACGCCTTTGCCACAGTGCTGGTGATAGTGGTAGTGGTCGTGGTAGTGGTGGTGGTGGTGGTGGTGGTGGTGGTAGTAGTAGTAGTAGTAGTGGTTGTTGTTGTTGTTGCTGTTGTCGTCGTGATAGTAGTAGCAGTAATAGTAGCAGCAGCAGCAGCAGCAGCAGCAGCAGTAGTGGTAGTAGCAGTAGTAGCAGCAGCAGCAGGAGTGGTAGCAGCAGGTGGAGCAGGAGGTGGAGCAGGCGAAGGAGCAGGAGCAGGAGCAGGAGAACCAGTCGGAGCAGGAGCAGGAGTTGGCGGAGCAGGAGCAAGAACAGGAGCAGGAGCGGGAGCGGGAGCCGGAGCAGGAGCAGTAGCAGGAAGAGGAGCAGGAGCAGGAGTAGAAGTAGTGGGACCCAGGAGTATACGAGAGGAGTGGGAGTAGCAGTAGCGGTAGCAGCAGCAGAACAGCAGAGTAGCAGCAGTAGGCCGCAGCAGTGGTACTGTAGGATTATCAGAAAGTGAATGGTTGAAACAATATAAAACATAGCAGTCGTACCGGTAACCTAGGAGCAAGGGAAGTACAAGAAGTCACCATCATCGTCGTTTCCGCCGTCGTCATGGCCATGGACATACTGCTGAAAATGGGTACTTGTATCATGCGACTAGCCGTTTTTCCGATCTATTCTTGCTGCATATGTAAGTATGCACTACTTAGCGTGAGCTTTGCAGAATGCTTGCCTAGCGCTGTGTCAAACAGCGCCGAAGCATCCTTTTCGGCCGAAATTCTTGCAGGGTCCATCTGACACTCGTAATTGGAACGCGTGCGCCACCTGGCTGTGCCGCTGCCATTTTCTTGGAGCTGCGGCTTGAGTCTTGGGTCGGAGATACGTCTGGCTGGGTGAAGCGACAGCAAGAAGCCGGGCGCCAAGATCGTCTGGCCAGTTTGCAAGCAGCTAACTTGAACTTGATTGGACAATTGACAACAATGTCTCTTATGTTGAGAGTGAGGGGGGTGAGTGGCTCTGCTGTGCTTGCGAGTATCATGGGAGTCGTTTAATGTGTCACAGATATATCCCACCGATCACATCACAAAGTAACGGCCGTACAGAAGAGCATTTGCTACCTTCCGGCCGCCGGTGCGTAATCGCGGCGACTAACTAGCCCGCACACATGCGCGAATTGCCGATGCGCTTCGTTTCCCTCCAGAACCGCCTGTGCGTCCAAGATTCGAGCTTTGGTGCAGACCGATCTGGCCAGGGCCATGGCATCGAGCAGGCGTGATGTGAGCTGAAGCTTGGGCTTTCCGGGTCTTCGCAGTACAACGTGGCATTAGCCCCACGCCTCCAACCCGCATCCAACGACTCAGGTCCTTGTTGTGTGACTTCCCATAAGGTCCACACCCAACACGTTTCGGCCGCCTTAGCCCCAACGACGCTCATCGTGCTCCCTTTCTTGAAGTACTGGTCTCAGTGGCAGCGATTCATTTTTTGGCAACCAATAGTTATAGCGAGGTCAAGATCCTTTTAACCAGCCCCAAGTGCCACTTCTTTGTAGGCTGCTTTGTGCGGAACCGGGACTGGGCCTCTCTCACGTACGCGCCGCTGGCTCAGCCTTTAGGGCCTTTAGGGTTCAGGGCCCACGATCGGGGTGGGCTGTTCGCGACTTCGGGGATTCCGGCTCTCGAGGTTTCAGGAGACCAAAGATTTAGCAATTTGCACAAGGCTTCAGGGTAGCAGCTACAGGAAAACGTTTCCATGTTAGTTGCCGGGATACGCACGAGGTGTTGAGATCGCAAAATTGCCGGGGCCTGGGGAATGTGGCTGAGGGTTGGGCTCAGACCCACAGAGTTTAATTCATGGCGCTAGTTTAAAGCTTATTACTGATGATTTCGAGCCGCAGCTCTCGTAGATCCTAAGGGTCCCATCTCAGCTGATCCCTACTGATCCTTGTAAGTTCCTAAGCGAGGTCTCGGCGGCGAAGCTGCGCGGGCTCGGTGGTTGCGAGGCTCGGACGTCTTCAATTCAGCATGTTGGTTTGCACTTGACGGACTTCGAAACACGAGCTTGTCGAAGAGTTTCTTCCTGGACGGGATGCATGAAGGTTTGGTGCTCGTTCGCCTGTTTACAAGTACTCTTGCTCCGTCCACTTATCGTACCAGTGCAAGCACCAGTGCGACTACCACTACGACGATGGCCACCACTGCGCCGACGACTGCGCCCACGACGACAAGCTACATCATCCAAATCCCGGAGCGTCTTCTTCCTCCTGCCCCGCTTCCTCCTCCTCCTCATCCTCCTGGTGGTCGTCGCTGTCGTCCTCGTCCTCGTCCCGCTCATGGTCATCGTCGTCTTCTCCGACATCGTCGCGGTCTCGTCCTCGCCTTTGTCGTGCTTCCCGTTGTTGTCGTTGCTGTCACGATCATCATCCTCATAATCAGCATCACCACCATCATCGTCACCATCATCATCATCATCATGATCACCGTCACCGCCACCATCACCGTCACCGTCACAGTCACCATCATCACCATCATCACCATCATCATCATCATCATCGTCTTTATCATCATCACATCAGCGTCGCCATCACCATCATCATCACCATCATCATGTTCAACAGCATCATCAGCATCATCATCACTACCACCATCATCATCATCATCATCACCGTCACCGCCACCATCACCGTCACCGTCACAGTCACCATCATCATCATCATCATCATTATCATCATCACCATCACCATC